CTTTATGACATTGGGCTGCTACATCTTTCTCCCACATAGTCGTTGGTGGACAGGATCAAACTGGGTAGCAGCTAGGCACTTATCCATTGTGCCAGCAATGACCCTTGAAAATTGAAGAAGCCAAAGTCTTCAAAAAGTATGTGTGAGGGGAAATAAGGTGATCTACATGCTTTGCCTAATATCCCCGAATGAAAACGTATTTCTTTAATGATTAAAGGATGAAGAGTACAATTATGTACATACTACAATCTGTTGTTGTTGTCAGGTGCCACTGAGTCAGTTCCAGGTCACAGTCACCCAGGCACAGCAGAAGGAAACGCTGCCTGGTCCTGTGCGCCATCCTCACCATAGTTGCTCTATTTCAGCCCATCATCAACCCATCTCTCGCTCTCTCTCTTTTGTCAATCCGCCTCTTAATGGACTTTCTCTTTATAGTTCTGTCCAGAAAGTAGACTATGGACTACGTCTTATCTTCTAGACTGCACTATTAAAAGATCTATTGATTTTTCTAATTTTGAATTCTCTTAACAGTACCCTGAAACCAGAGCTCTAAAGGAAAGATGTAATTGGAAAAGGGACATCAGTGGTCTGCTACAGGAGGAAGAATGACAAAAATGAAAAAGAAAAGGCAAATACAGGTAAGGGATTTTGGTATAGAAGTGAATCTGATAAATGAGGGGGCTTCAAAATGTTTGTGGAAATGTTTCGTTATCGGTTAATTGCATTTTCTACAAACTTTTTTAAGCCTTTTCAGATGTGCAGTTAAGATAGAACACCCTCTACCAGATAATTAATTCTAAAGCTTTCGAGAAGAGGACTTCAGCGAGCTCGAGGAGTATAAATAAGCTGTAATAAATTTTAGAAAGAGTGAAAGGAAGAAACTGAAAGAAGGCATTTGGGGCACAAATTAAGCATGTTGCTGTTGAGTGCACGTGAGCCGATTTCGGATTCACAGCAGCCTCCTGAGACAAGAGTAGACCTGCCCTAGGAGATTTTCTAGGATAAAAAGCAGTATGAGAACAGACCGTCAGGCCTCTCTCCCATTTTGTGTGTATAAGCTAAAAATATGAAGAAAGCCCAAAATCCATGTCCATATCCATTAGTCAAGCATCTTTCTTCTTCCTAAGATTAAATTAC